AAAAAAGTAGTGCAATTTTTACCCAATTTCATGTCAATTTAAACTCATATTCACACAATTTGAACTAAATTTCACCACAAATGCACTAAATTTCACACAAACAAATTCAATTTCACAAAAAATTACAACAATAATAAACAGTATAAAATTTAAAAAAATACCTTGAGAAGAAGAGGAGGTCAGGTGGGGGAAGATGGCGGTCGAGACACTGGCAGCGGCGAGTGGTGGAGACCCTGGCGGCGGCGGCGAGGAGGGAGGGAGACACTGGAGGCTAGAGGTGGAGACACTGGCGGTCGAAGGCGAGGCTGGGAGGAAGACACTCGCGGCGCGGTCGACGGTGAGGCGAGGAGGACTAGCGCCGCGGCGTCAAGCATGCGGCGGCGGCGGGCGGTCAAGGAAAGCCGCGGAGGAGATGCGTCAGTTGAAGTTTTGTGGACGGAAGATGTCTGGGCTCGGATCTGTGAACTGATTTCGTATGTAGATTGAAAAGAGGATAACCCGATGTTATTTAATTATCTGCGACGGAATTACATCCGTTGCAGATTCCGTCGCAGATCTGCTACGGAAAGTGTATTTCCGTCGCAATAATGTTCCTTTTCCTGAAATTATTTTTCCGTTGCAGATTCGTTGCAGATCTGCTACGGATATGTGTCCGTAGCAGATTTCCGTTGCAGACCAGATAAATTCTTGTAGTGTTAATTAATTGTATTTGAGACATATCTTTTTTTATCGGGTCAGGGGTTTCAATTATTGAAGGTGATCCTCAAGAAATTACAATGGAGCTGGAGGTTCAGTGGGATGGAAACCCATGCATCGTCCTTGATATTACTACTACACTTTGTGTATCAATACCCATTGAAGTATGTACATACATATATACTTCTCATCTCATTTTTTAAAGAAGAATTAATTATCTAAATAGGACTAAAACATAATAACTTTCTCAATATAGGACCATGTGTTTTTATTTCCCAATGTAGGAACATTGGTCATTATCCATTAGTCATTATTCAAGTAAACTTCCACTATCACTAAACATTATTCCACCTACTAGACATTATTAAGTCCTATTTAGAAAAAAAGTGTAAGTTTTACATTGAGAAATGACTTATGTTTTAGTCCTATTTTGAATTAAAACATAATGACTTTCTCAATATAGGACCATACGTTTTGATTTATAATAATTAGATAGTTTTGATTTATGCCTAAACTTGCAGGTTAAAGACATTGCATTTACAGGTTTATTCAGGATAATATTCAAACCGCTAGTTGACGAGTTTCCATGTTTTGGAGCTATTAGTTACTCCTTACGTAAAAAAGTAAGTAATGTCTTGCATGCATAATTAAATAATAATATGGTCGGTCATTGATCACACTTTGTTATGAGTTTTCAAAATCACGTACGACTCAATTGTATTATGTGCGTGTCATTCATTTCTCACATATATATAGGAGAAGCTTAATTTTCGACTCAAAGTTTGTGGCAATATCTCAACTGTTCCTGGGGTGATCGACGGTCTTAAGGTTTGCATTTAATTATTACCATACATCTCTTAAGGCTAGGGGCCTATTTAGTAGGCTAGGCTAGGGTGATATTTACATCAACTTAATTACCAAATAAAACTACGCTAGCTTAAAATGACAAAAACAATATGGAGTACTTAGATAAATACTTCGTGTGTGTGTGTGTATATATATATATACATACATATACATATATATATATATATATATATATATATATATATATATATATATATATATATATATATATATATATATATGTCTACTTCTCCTGGTAAAAGTTTACTCTACTTTGATTTAGATCTTAATTTGACACTGTTAGAGTACCATACTGAATTCAATTGAAGATTCCATCACATGGCCAGTGCGACAAATCATTTCCATATTACCAGGAGATTATAGGTACGTACTTGCAGTAACTTATAATACTTGCATTAATAACTTATCATCAGTAGTAATTACTTTTAGTAATCTAGAAACAATGTTGTAAAAAGAGATTATAAAGAAAATTTAAGGAATGCACAAGAAAAATAAATTATGGGACAAAAAACTCATTCTCATCCATATTATAATTTAGTTGATTGGAAATGGTACATACTAATGTAGTAGCTAGTGTTTATATATATGACTGTATCTTTATAGTGATCTGGAGTTAAAGCCAGTTGGGATGTTAGAAGTGAAGCTCATACAAGGTAAAGAACTCACAAATAAGGACTTGATTGGAAAATCTGACCCGTTTGCTGAAGTATTCATTCGACCACGACGAGAGAGAATCAAGACTAGCAAAGTTATAGTAAGAAAATCGAGATTCATTCACTTAAATGCTTCTTCGTTTCCTTGCCTGTTTTTATCCACCAAGCAAACTTATCCCACTTTCTTTTTATATATTGGGCTTTTTGTCTTTATTTGTCAAGAACAACTCCCTAAACCCGGTTTGGAATGAGAGCTTTGAGTTTGAAGTTGAAGATGCATCCACTCAACACTTGACTATAATGGTTTATGATGATGAGGGTATTCAAGCTTCTGAATTGATAGGATGTGCTCAAGTATATTTGAAAGACCTCCAGCCTGGAAAAGTGAAGAGTTTGTGGTTGAAACTTGTGAAAGATTTACAACTTCAAAGGGACAACAAAAATAGAGGCCTGGTGAGAGAGGATTGAATTGAAGTTCATTCCACTTTTTTTCGTTTCTTTAGCGAAAACAAACTTGTTTGCTAGTAGCAGAGATCGGTTAGTTAGTTGTTGGCCGGCTAGTATTATCTGAATAAACAATAATAATATGTTTGGCAACATGAATTATTGCAGATTCACTTGGAGCTGTTATACTGTCCCTATGGCACACGGAGCATCTTTATGGAACGTTTCAACCCCGATGACTTTTCGCTGACGGACTTGGAAAAGGCCATTAAGCCAGAAACAGCCATACAAAACACAATTGGTGGTAGTCTCCTCTTTAGAGGAGTTCTCTCTGTGACTGTAATATGCGCCAAGGACTTACCACCAACGGGCTTATTCCGAAGCTGTGACCCGTACGTACTAATAATATTGAAAAAATCCGAACTCAAGGAGAAAACTAGAGTAAGTTTTTGTGATATTAATTAAACTCTTGTAATGTGGGATATATTCTACTCGGATGATGTTGTTGTTGTTAAGGATTAAAGGGGCAATAATGCATATTTCAGGTTGCTGCCAAGACACCAAATCCAGTATGGGACCAAACATTTGAGTTTGTCATTGAGGATGGATTGCATGATCTGTTAATATTTGAAGTTTGGGAGCACCATGTATGCCGAAATGTAAGCACTAGCTACAAAAGTCCTTGAAAATAAATAAAACAAGCTAAGGGGGAGGTTGAATAATACTAAATGATTGTTCACTTAACTTTATTCAGTTATTGTTACGAAACCTTTTGTGAGGTGTCCCAAGATTGATTCCTATGGGCTTAACCATAACAATATCATTTAAATGTGGAGTCAACATATTAATTTTTCATCAGTTAAGATCCTTATTATACTATAGTATTTGATTGATTAAATAAATAAATATTTCAGGATAGAATTGGGCGATGCATAATGACACTCGCCAGAGTTATAATTGATGGCGAAATCAGAGATTGGTTCGAGATAGATGGAGCAACGACTGGGACGCTGCACTTGAACATCAAATGGACACCTCAACCAATAATCCCATGACTGCTTCATTATCTATGGTTTTAAATACTTACTATTTTGTGTTAAATATGTTAGACTTTATCCTCTTGCGAGCATATAAATAGATTGAAGTTTATTGAACATGTGGGTGGATAATTCAAAGAGAGGTGGGTTGTGCTATATATTAGACTTTTCCTAATTTTAAGATTTCTAATTGATGAGATTTATCCCAACAACTATGGCGTACGAAGAACAAAACAAACAATATTGATAATACTTGGTCTTGTATTTCTCTTGTATTAGCTACTTTCAACTTGGTTTACAATGGAGGGTAAGCCTCATATTTATGGCTTAAATCTACCATGTACAAGGTAAGTGGTGTCGTGCGCTACATTATTGGCCATTTTGCTAATCGTGCGTCAAACATGGTGGAGAATCAGTTATTGATTCCCGTCAATCCCACGATTCGGGGAACACTACGGCTTGCTCCGGCGATGGGAAACTCTGTAGACAGCACTACTTTGCTCTCTATACTCACAACTCTCTAAAGGAGGAAGAATGGTGAAGAATGGTTTGGGGAGTTTATATAGTGCAAGGGAGAGGAAGAAGACATAGGAGCTGACTTGGTTATTCGTGTTCTTCATTCGGCGATGTGCGTTAGTGGAGGGGGCGATAGTTTCTTCCGATCTTAAATGCAAGTTCCTTGATTGGGAGTACTTTCAGTCCCGGTTAGGGTAGAATTTTTTGTCCAACTTTTCTCTGAGTTCAAATTCGATTGTACCTTTGTGACCAGACAGTCAAACGCTACACAATGATATAATTTTCATTATTTATTGACAATCTTTATTAATCACTTATTTTTGGATCTTTCTCCGTAATTAATTAGTTATTAATTATTAATTCTGATAGGCCTATTTTTGGGGCATTACAACAAGTGATAAGCGGTATTTTGCAACACAGTATCACCCCCAAGTTATACATATAAAGCTCTGGGAATAATTCCTACAACGACACATCTCATTTGCATAACTCTTATCCTTTTTTCACTATTATCTTAATTTAACACAAGGTATGGGGTGTGTCATATTTTTAGAGATAAATTGATGGTTAACTAATTCTTTGATTGACTAGTGAGATTCAAATAACATATTTATTTGGGCATGTGCATGCACTTCCAAAGTCACATCAATCAGCATGCCCTAAGCTATTATACTTCACTAAGGAAGGGATAAATTATATTCTATCTACGTCATTCACATCTACACTTAAGTTTCATTGCATACCCAAACTATAGTCGTACCTCCACCAATATTTTAGATGGCATCAACTGTGCATCAAAGTATACAACTGAACTTATCAAAGATCGTAATGACTTCAAGTCAAAATATAGTTATACTAATGGCCGCATGATAAGAATACTAACACATTAACATAATACCCATAAACTATTCTCATTGCGGGTCAATCTAGAAACATATCCAATATATTTGTATACACATAGATTCAGATAACACTTTATCTATAACGTATGAGACGTGGCTATTCTCATCTCATATGTTTTAGTCTTGATACATTATGACGTCCTTATTATCATAGTATTTGACTAAGGATATTTTAGACGTAGTCTCTATCTTTGCAACAAACTCGTAATCACAACGTTGTAGTTTTCATGTATGTTGGTAGACCGCCTACTCTATGGACTAAAGTTATGTTTAAATCACAAGAGACAATTTAAACAATCTTTAGGGCCTATTTGTTAAATATATTAAGTATATATTTAGTATCTTATGTATATAGTAGTTTCCATACATGTATAGTCCTTATTAATTAAGGATCCCTAACATAGTAGGATTCCTATTATAACTAGGACTACTCTACTATATAATATCCCTTGTATTCCCACATTATGATCATTGGAATATATCAATTCTTCACTATTATTGTTTATATAATTTAGACACGGAATCATAAGGTGGCCTCTAAGACTCACTTATATTAAACAAGTTGAGGGACTAGTAATGTTCTTGGCTTTGTCACCTTTAAGACTTCAGATGGAATCCTCAATCCTAAGATGACTATTGAGTTGAACCAAAGTCATGTCCGCCTTGCCATGTTTCAAGGTGCGCCCACTATTGACTTTTCTACGATGCTCGACACCAAGATGGACTCATCTCGATGCACGCTATGTTGAACATATTGTCCTAGGATCCTCAACATTTCATTGTATTCTTCTATGATCGGTTGTGAGCCGACCATCTTATAATTATTAAAATTACTAACAAGGAACTTCTTGTTAGTAGCATCTACAATCACATATTTCTTTTCAAGACCATCTCATAGCAATTTTGCAGATTTAAGATTTTGGTAAATATCAAAGAGAAAATTGAACATACCATTAAGAATATGACCAAGACAAATGTAGTCATCGTTCTCCCATTTGTACTGTCTTCAAGTTTGTTCCAAGGTTTCTTCTTCTATGATATCAGGCATCGGTGTACCCAAGACGTATACAACCTTCAACCTGGTGAGAAGGAACTGCATCTTCTTCTACCAAAGATGGAAGTCCCGACCTTCAAACTTTTCCAGTTTTGAGAACTTACTCGTAAGATCTCCCACAGATTCGCCATCGTCATCTTTGCGTTGTTTTAGGGAAATATATCTTTAGTCTTTGTTGGGGGATTGATATAGGTTTGTGCAAGAAAAAAGGTAACCCCTCCGTTTCGAGTGTTTGTCCACTTTTGACTTTTTTGGTTAAAATTGGTAAACTTTGACCTCAAATTAAATAAAAAAGATATTATGTATTTATAGTAAAATAGTTTTATTAGATTTATTATATGAAATATTTTCAAAATATTATTTTATCTAATTAATATACAATATTTATTTTATTTAATAAGAGGTCAAAGATTAAAAACGGTTGACTGTCAAAAGTCAAAACTGGACAAATACTCAGAGACGGAGGTAGTAGCTAGTGATAGGATTATGAATCATGAAAGAACCACTTTTAGACTAAATTTATTTTAGACAAACTAAAGTACATTAATAAGATAAGACGTAAACGTTACAAAACGAGGATGAAAGCTTTCAAGTAGAAGACTATAGTCATTTGGACTTATTCTTAGTTGTTCTACTGATATAGCCATAGGGATAGATATTTATAGATAAAACATTATTCGTATAGGTTACAACCTATTTGAATAGGTCCTCACAGTTCATTGTGACCTTTTTTAATAGACAAAAACCTATTTGAATAGGTCAACCATTTTATTCTAAATAATAATATAATTAAATGAGCGTGTTCTCCACACCTCCTAATTCGTTTCAATATTTATAATTATTTAATATCCAATCAATAGGTAAATCTATTTACTCAAAATAGCCCGATAACACTAACATCCCACGGAAAGAAGTTTAAATAGAGGAATATTAAGGCTAATTTTTCAAAGCATATGGTTCGAAAATATTCTTCCCATTTCTTTTTTGTCTATTTTTTAGGAATATATTTCAACATTATCCTTATATTTTACCACTAATCTACTTTTTTTATTGATTTTTTAATAAGAAAAGAAACTCTAAAAGTTTTGAGTACGTGCATTTTTGTTAGGGCTGTCAACGGATAGCCGAAAATCCAATTACCGTCTGCATCCGTATCCGTTTAAGGAGGAAATATCCGCATCCGTTTTAAATGGATATTATCCATATCCGATTAAGGATATCCGATTACTAAACGGATACGAATTTGGTAAATGTAGTCTTTTTTGTCTCAATCCCTTAACAACACTTATTCCGCATCTCTAAGAACAAGTCCTTCTTTCAAAACCTATTCTTACCAAGACATTCCGACTACACCGCTTCCCCTCAAAGACTGGAAAAAGAAAAGAAGAACATAGATTCGTTTCACTATGTGAAACTCATTTCGTTTCAAATGAGTTCGTAGATCCGTTTAAAATCCGATCCGAATATGCATCCGTTTAAAAAATCGGATATCCGAATATCTGATCCGTTATATATATAGTTTTTCCTAATTTTTTTATGTTTATATTTTGTTTCTCTATTGATATTTCAAAGTATGAGACATTTTTATATACAAAACAAATGTGTAGACACAAAAATATGTGTATATGTGTGCTGTGTATATCTTTTTATCATATGAAGTTATCATAGAATATCATAAATCGTGAAAACGAAGAATATAATTATCCCATAAAAAATTATAGTTGATTTAATAATAGTTTGACTTTAATGATTTTAATCTAATTTAAAATTAAAGGATTGTTTAATTTGATTTTAAAAATTGAAAACGGATGCGGATATATCCGATATCCGACGAATGCGGATACGGTTTTGATTTTCAATATCCGTCAAGATCCATATCCGAATTTGATATCCGACACAAATAAACGGATACGAATATGGTAATGGCACATCTGATCCGATTAATATCCGTTTACACCCCTAATTTTTGTAAATTATGCACTTTTTTTTAGTGTTCTTTAATAAGCTTGAAGTCAACCGGTGAAGCCGGACGGAGGGAGTAATCCGGAGTCACCTAAGTGGAAGAGAAGAAACTGATTCCTTTGATCCCATTCCAATTGCTATGACTAGGCCGATTGTTCTCGCGCTGATCTTTCTGCTTCAGCTCTCCATATGCTCCATCGCCGTCGCTTCCAGGTTTGCTTTCTCTTCAACCTAAGTTTTGTTAAAATTATTTTGATTTCTATTCAACGCTTCTCAGCTTCCTCTATTTGTGAGATGGTTAAGTTACCTGGATGTGTAAAGTTAAGATCTAAAGAATTCATCACGGAAGGTTTCTCTTTGGTTATCATCACCATCCTCCAGCCATGTGTTGATTCGATGTATTGTTTTGGGCAGGACTAGTGATGCGTATTCTATAAACGGACGTGTGAAAATACCAGGTTCAAATGTAATTCTTGTTGATATTCTGCCATTCATTTTATTGAACCATTAACAATGCTTTGTTGATAAACCTTTGAGATTCGTTCATTCCTTTATAATTATATGGCATATTATATAATTATCTGGATCTTATGTCTAATGAATTTTTATGGGTAAATCGTGCATTTAGTATGCTTTACTCTTCAAACGTGGGAGCTTTGATAATAGCAATGATGCGTC